GTCTATGTTCAATCCCTTGTTACGAAGAGTTATTGGGAGCGAACCTCTAGATGTTTAAGCGAGAGTGTCAATCTCGAACCGAACGATTAATTGCCCGGCTTTGCTAGAACTTGAATTAATTATCCCCGATTCCCTAGTTTCTCCATCTTTGTTCCATCCACATTTTTAGGTAGATTATTGCTCTTTATTGTTTTTTTTTAGACAGTAATTATTCAAACCCCTTTTCTGATTAGAGTGTTTAGGATTTTGTTTTCTTTTTATGTGTTATCATTACCAAAGCTAAATTCCGAACCGCCTTCCTCGAGAGATCGACCCGGGAAGCGAATCTTTGATTCGGTACTCGGTAAAATATAACAATTTGTACACAACATGTCACAATCACAAAGACTTTTATGTAAATTACAATTCTCTGTGGGCTTACTAAAAGCCTCTTTTAGAATGTGTTGTGTCTTTATATAATAGATAAATAGCATGCAACAAGCCGATGGGAACTGAAGGTGTTTTCTCTCCTAAATAATTTCTGAATGTGTTGAGCTTTAAGTAGGAGGTTCTCGTGCTTCAGGATTCTATTTTGATAAATTTTTATGTTTTGTATTTTAATTTACTTTCAATCTAAAATAACTCTTCGGCCTGTAATGTCCATAAACATGTTAAATGTTTAGGATTCTCTTTAAGAAAACATTAATTATGTTACATTTCATATTTTAGATTTAGTTGTACATTTTTATTTATTTTTTTTTTTTATTTTTTTTTGCTTTAGTCTAAATTATTGTGGATAAAATTATTGGTGGTCAGATATCACTTAAATACATCCAATGGCACATATCGCACGACAAATCATGCTGTTTAATTACGCACTGCAGAGCCCCCGAATCCCATTCCCATCCGCGAGATATATAGCTTAAATGGGCATCCGGGTCTGAACCTATTTGTGGAATTTTCACCTTGTCCGGTAGCTGGTCAAGGAGAATATCTGGTGACAGTGGCGAGGCTATCTCCTGTGAGGAACTGTTTGGGGACATTTGTGGCCTATTCATAGGCTAATCTGCCTGACCTCTGCCTAGATTCCAGTTCAACTACTTTCTTCTTGAGGGCCATGACTTTTTTGGATTCTCGCTTGTTCGCCAGACTTTTCAACAACTTCTCGCTTAGGTCTGGATTTGCCTTCTTTGTTCCTAGTCGTTGGAATACAGAGGTGGTGGATTTGGTACAACGACTGTCATCCGACTTACTGTCTCCAGTTTCCTCCTCTTGGCTTCGATCTGTGGACCCGTTTGCTTGGTTGTACGTGGAATCAGGTGATTGTTAGGTCGAGTGGGAGTGTACTGGGGCTTTGCGCTTGTCGACTGCGGCATTTTGATCTTTTTTGGCTGGTATCTTCGACATATTAGAAGGCAATGGTAGGGTTTGTGATAAAAGGTTTGAAAACCCTTTCACAAAGTCAGAATCCTGCATGAGCATGGCAAAGTCAATGTTGGGACTCTTGGGAGGTGACTGTCCAGCCCCAGAACTTTCGAATTCTTCATTTTGGCTTGACGTTGACATTTTTACGCTCCTCTCTCTCTTTTTTTTTAGTGGTTTGTTTTCAAGCAGAAGATTACTCCAAAACAAGATGGAGCTCTTCCTCTAGCGTCAAACTGTTGTTATTAGATTCTGTAACAACCAATGTTTAAGTAAATAAAATTTATTATTTGCGTAATTTGTCGAACTGAACTAGAGTTCAGCCTTTTCCTCTTGGATATTTTTCTGAATCTTCCATAAGATCCTTTTGTAATAGCCTTTGCGGCTATTTATACATGTTGTACTATCAATTACTATTTGTGTGTGTAGTACAAGTAGGTGTAGTACAAGATATTTTTCTATTGTAGAAAAGTACAACTGCGTTTATTATCTATTCCAGCGGTTGGTGGTCACATCTCCATTAATGCACTTCCAGTTAGCTGAGCCAAACAGTTGCTTGGTAACTTCATGATCCTACCGCGTTCGACATAGTATATTTTAACTCAGCTGTGTTTCGGTGCCGATCTTCCTTAATTACTCTTTCAATGAGCTTACGTGTCGTGTCTTCATTGGAGGGGAAGATCAACAAATCCAAAAATCATCAATTTTATTCTCAGTTCTAATTATTTTAACGTTACCTACTAAGGTTGTGTTTGGTAAGCCAAATAAGCTAGCTTATAGCTTATTTGGTTAGCTTATAAGCTCCCTGTATTTAAATAAGCCTCGTTTGGTAGGACGGACTTTTTTAAAAAGCTCAAGCTTATCTCATAAGCTACTTTAGGTAGCTTTTCAAATAAGCTAGTTGAATTTTTTATTTCAGCTAGCTTATTAGCTAATTTTACCAAACACTTTATCATATAAGCTAGTTTTTCAGCTATAAGTCATAAGTTATAAGCTATAAGCTAAAAATTACAAATAAGCTATAAGCTAGTTTATCAGCTATCAGCTAGCTTATCAGCTAGTTTTACCAAACATAGCCTAAGTAGTTTAAGAGATCTCTGTGTTTTGATTTGTTAATAACAAACCCAAAAATCATCAATTTTGTTCTCAGCTCTAATTATTTTAACGTTACCTACTAAGTAGTTTAAGGGATCTTTGTGTTTTGATTTGTTAATATGTTTGCAGATAACAATTGTTAATATCTGTGTTGGGCTAGACAAGCACCCGAGCGCCATGATTTTCGTCTAGGCAATCGGGTCGTCAAGGATGGCCACTCTGTGTTTCGATAATAATGACGTTCGTCGGAGACGGCTTCTTTACAATATATGGGTTGGCCGATTACTTTAGGTTCTGCTTGGCTCAAAAGTGGATGCGGTTTTTTTTTTTTTTTTTTTTTTNTTTTTTTTTTTTTTTTTTTTTTTCGAAAGTGGATGCATTTGACATTTGTAGACCTGGTCAGTCGAAAATATACCCGATCGATTATCTGGGGGTCATCTCGGAAAACCTGTCGGTCATATGTTTATTTCTTGCATATTTTAAGCCCCCGTTTGCTTTGCCACGTGTTGCTTTTTTATTAATAATGACCAAATTGGGTATCAACTATGTGTAAAAATAACAAACAAAATAACATGTGTCACAATCACAAAGACTTTCATGTAAATTACAATTGTTTGTGGACTCACTGAAAGCCTTTCCATTTTTAGAATGTGTTCGTCTTTATAAAATAGATAAATAGCATCCAACAAGCCGATGGGAATCGAAGGATCCTCCATATTCTTTCAGATTGACAAAAAAATATCAGATTTTGATAAAATTATGCACTGAATTTGCATGTATGCAAAATAATGATAAGTTAGTAAGAAATATATCTTTCGAGTTAAAGAACAAATCAGCGACAATATATTCATGTTAAACACAACGTGCTATGAGAATTACAAGCTAATAAATAACATAGAGTTTAGTTCATTGCTTACAAAAGACTTGAAGACAATTAAGAACATAGAGTTTAGTTAATTGCTTACAAAAGGCTTGAAGATAATTTCTTTCATAAAGATGATAACAGAACCAATCTACCTATCAAAACAAATACGAACATCAAGCAGAAAATAAAAACACAACAGAGATATAAAAAAACCTAACTAAACTAAATAGGTAGGCTCAAGCCGACCCAAATGTTCTACAAACAATTTCCATATAAATGATGTTTTATCAATCACTTACATTGTCAATCACTTAAAGCCCTTGCTCCCAGGATAGAAATACTCAGCACCACTATCCTTAACCCTAAAATGGAAGTTTTGAACTTTGTTCCTTGTTTTGCCATCTTCAAGTCCTCTGTTAGTAACAGTCAACTGTCCACAAACAAATGAAGTGAATATATTAATAAGTAGCAGGTTGAGAGAGTGACTTCTCTTGGAATTTGCTAGTTGATAAAAGGATGCAGTAATTAAGTACAAATTTATAGAATTGGAGGAATAATTTTGCTACAATCATACAAACTCCAAAAGCTGGCCTTAGATCTACTGATATATGAATATTTATTCATTAACATTAATAGCACCAATTCAACTTTTTGGCTAAGGTCCATTATAGGGGTAGCAATTATAAATTCTTTCTTCCACCAAAAATCTCGTTCAACATATAATATATATATATATATATATATATATATACTTGCAACCATTACGAGAAAAAGGGTATGAGACCCATCAACATAAAGTAAACAACTAGAAAATAACTCATAAAGTGCAAAAAATAACATCATCCCACTAACTTGGAAACAAATTTTACCTGCCCATGGACAGCAGCAGCTAAACCAGTATCCAAGGGCTCGATCTTAATCACCATGTCCGCTAGATATTCCATATGTAGTAGCAGTTTAGGTTCGTCCATAGTTGAATACACATCATCATGGTTAAGGGCAACAAGCGAACAACCCTATTCAAGAACATACTGTGAAAAACGAACAATTTTGCAACATACAGCGCAAAGCATAAAAATATAAGAAAATAGAGAAAATGCAAAAAATTGTAAAAAACAAAACCTACAAATTGCGCTCTTAAACTGTTGCAATAATGCAGAAAATCCAGGACGAGGTTGGACGAACCATTAGCATCAACTTCCACAAGAGATACATCATCGATCATTAGAGTAACATGCTGACTGCCTTCAGGTGATAGACAAATCTCTACAGCTCTCTGAATCTCGCCAAATAATGAAATAAATCTTTCCTCCCTAAGTTTTGCTCTGTCACTATCTAACAACAATAACGTCATAACAGTTAACAAACCCAATTAATTCATCATACAAATGGACTACAAAGTAAAAACTACAAACATTTACATGCTTACTACTTTACTGCATATTTTGCATCATTTACAAGTATAGATACCACCCAAAAAAAAAAAAATCAGTAATGTATGAAAATACTAATCTTTGACATGAGTGCTCACCGCATTTATCTGCCATAAGCATGTCAAAGAACAGCTATTTCTTACAATCCCTCTGGACGCTTAAGTTGNCTAAATCAATCATCGGAACTTCACAACATTTGACATAAACACCTGATTAAAGTGAAGTCGGAGAGAGAAATTTAGTCATGTACCATTTTCCGAAGAATTCGATCGTAATGAGAGAATGGGTGTGCAAAGGAGATGAAAACAAGGAGGATGTCGGAGGAGAGGGAGCGCTTCAGTAGGTGGTGTACCACAAATGCTCCGCTGGTCTCCACACAGTCCTCTACCAAGATCATCCGCCCGCCTTTGCCGTCGAGGGCCTCGTCGAGAAGGTTGGATGGTGGGGCAATCTGCCATTTTAGTAGCTCAATGCCAATTTACTGCTCAATTTGGCTTTTGAATTTGAAGACAAGAGTTTTGGGTCCTTCTCAGTAGGGCATTTCTGGTCGCTTTTCTTTTGGCTCGTGAAGCTATGTTTTTTGCTAATTTTGTTAAGCACAACAATTGCATATAAGACACAAAAAAGGCTCAGCCAAGTATTTTCATAAACAGGCCATACATCCCCTGATTCAAAATCATAATAACATGCTCTTTAACTCCAACACTTCTAAACATTTGAACATGAATAACAACTCATCTAAGGCTGCAACTTAAACATGAAATCAACACCAAAAATCTCATGGCATAAGCTCTGAACAATTCACAACAAACAGGGCTCAAACAAATAATTAACAACAAGGCAACACTTTAAGGCATAAGTTCTCAATCTCTTCTTAACTAAGGCATGCTACCAACCTCAAACAAAACTGAAACTGAGGCTTCAAAAACCAAATAAAGTCGGCAAATTTTAAGGTAGTAAGGCTCAGCCAATATTACCTTCTTCGGCCACAAAAAGGGAACAAGCAAAGGCTCGGGTGTGGCTTGCGCAAGGGACTGGTTTCTCGGCTCTAAGGGCCTCGCAAGGGAAACTGGAGCTTCGATTGCCGGAAATATGGTGGCTCTCCGACGCCGTGAATGGCTGCTGAAATCGGAGAGAAGAAGGGAAAATCTGTTTGGTCAAGGGCTGACCGCTGACCGGGTCTTAGGACGTTTGGAACTCACTTGGGCTTAAAATCGTGCTTTAGGCATAGTGGGCTGGTCCCTGGTTTTTGCTTTGGTGCTTGGGAATTTTGGGCCAAAATACTTCTAGCCCAACACTTAGGCTAAAAACTGCAATTAATAACTACACGAGAAAATTACTTCTCTTAGAGCACCCACAATGCATTTGGTCTAATTTTACTTAGAGCACCCATAATGTTTTGGGTCTCTTAAAAAAAATCACACACCATGTAGGAAATAAACCTAGTCAATAAAAAGGTGTTTCACAATACAATTAAAAGTGGACCTAGTCTAGCTTATGCAGCAATAAAAAAAAAAAAAAAAAAAAGACCAAACCCACTCTTGGGTCTATTTTGGACCCAAGTATGAACCTGTACAATCAGCAATTATTTACTATTATTATATTTTTATTGATTGTTAGATATTCTAGACCTGGTACCTTTTTTCTGCATTAGATAGATTTTGGATGTTTTAGCTTGAGTTTGTCCATGTCATTATAAACTTAAGTCTATTTATTTGTCACATATGCAAAAAGAGACCCAAAGCATTGTGGGTGCTCTTATGTGACATATAAATAGACTTAAGTCCTAAATGACGTGGACAAACTCAAGTAAAAAAACTCAAAAACTATGCAATGCAAAAATAAAATATTAGGTCTAGCATACTTGCCAACCAATAAAAATGCTCTAATATGTTTCCTTTATTTAAAGGAAAGTTAAAGTATGAATAAACGATGAGTGTTTGGGTTTGTACTTAGGTCCAAAATAGACCCCAAGTGTGGACTTAGTCTCTTTTTTTTATTACCACATAATTTTAGACAATGTCCACTTTTAATTGCATTGGGAGATATTTTTTTATAGACTAAGTCTATTTCCTATGTGGCACATGATATTTTATTAAGAGACCCAGTGCATTGTGGGTGCTCTTACTAATGACTAGTCCGTGGCCCGTGCGATGCACGGGAAAATAATATTACGATTGTATTATAAATTAAATATATAAATAACATTAATCATAATTTATCCATTGTTTTTAAATTAAACCGGGTTGCACACAGTCCGACCGGATGGATCAGGAACCGGTTTATAACCAGTCTAGTTCGCTTGAATAAAATATTTGCTCTGGAATCCATCAACACCAGTCGGTTGGACTGGTAGGATCAATACGATTTTCTAAATAAATTTTGTTGTATTTAAAATTATTTTAAATAAAATTACATATTTAAATAAAATAGATATTTATATATTATTTATCAATTAGTTTAAACATTTGAATTTATAAATTTTCTAGATATCTAAGTAACACATTTTATTTAAATTTATTACAAAAGTACTATATATATATATATTAAAATTTTATAAATTAAAATCTGAACAAACCACAAATGATTTAATAAAATAGCTTGATCGTTTCGATGACGGTCCAGTTCTGAAAATCTTATATTTACTGTACATTAATAAAAATTATAATAAAATATTATTTAATTCACATAAATATTAACAAAATGATATATAAATATTCATAAATCATTAAACATGTTGTCATAAAAGTATTGTTAATACGATTATTTGAAGTTTGGACTACATCACATTCACGTAATAACATATTTTCAATATAAAACTTATATTTAGGTTCAATAATCGATTTGATGTGGTCGAACTGATACATAACTTAGTCACCTGGGACCAACCAAGTTGTGTCAAATTTTTTGACTATTTTAATTATCACCGAAAAGTAATTCAATCAACCTGGGCAGTACCCTAATTCAATCACCCGATTGATCCGAAGAAATTTTCTTATTTTCTTTAAATATATTTAATTTTATGAAATAAAAATATTTTATGACATATAATAAATGTCTACACCAAATGATAGTATATTAAGATTATATATTATATATCTAAAGATGAATTAATTATTTTTACTTTATGCATATTAATTAAAAATAAACATAGTAATTTTAAAAAAATTAAGATTAATTGATTGATTATGCAATTTAAATAATATTTTTTGCGTTCAATATGTTTTTTTAACGGCACAAATATAAAAACCGAGATTCTAAAACTTTTGTTATATTTTGAATTGAGATTTTATAAATATAGAGACCGAGATTTTAATGTTGTTCGTTGTTTCTAAGAAAAAAAATAAAAAAAATAAAAACATACACATTAATAAATCTTAACCGAATTTTTTAAATAATAAAATAAACTAAAACTCGAAATTTAAGGTAACATTTAATGTTGTATGATTTTAAAAAAAAAAAATAAGAAAAGTAATAAAACTTACTATATATAGGCTGCATTAAATTCTGACTTATTTTTTTGCTACTATTTTTTATAAATGTTAATTCTTATTATATATATATATATAGATTTGGCAGATCATATTAAAACTAGTATTGTTTCCCATGCAGATGCATGGAATATATTAAAAGAAAAATAACGTCAAAGAACAAAGTATAAATCATACGTAAAAAAATTATAAGTTATTATATTCAGCATTCAGTTGTTTGTAAAAGCTTATACATTGGTCTTCTCATCACATATTAATATTTTTAATTTTTCAAGTTCATAACTATAAAAAGAAAGCATCAACATAAATCTAGCGATGTTAATTAATAATGGTAAGCGAAAATGAATTATGAAAAATAATATTAAATTAAAATAATGTTAAACAACGAAAAGTTGCGCCATATATCAATAATAAAAAAACCAATCATAAATTAATATGACAAATTAAGAAAGAAACAATTTGTTTGTGCTAAAAAATAAAAGTATTACTTCTTTCAAAATACGCAAAGCATATATAATAAATTATATATTCAAATACAATTATTTTTACCATCCTCTTTCTTCTTTTCAACTTGTGAACTTTTTCCAATTCAATTATGAAGTATGTACTAAAAAAGTTTGTTGACATTAATTAGCATACATTATAATACAATTGATAATTCAGAGAAATCCAAAATATAGCTTTGGTTGTCATATATTAATTAAATGAAAACGGTTTCATATCAACAATTCATAATCATATGTACACTATTAAAAAAAAACATAGATTTATAATATAAAGCAAACGTACGATAACATTTAGTACTAATGACCAAATCCTAATCCAATTAATAAAAATATTTTGAATAAAACCACTACGATACCTAACTTAATAAAAATATGGAAATAATTGGCATTGAATAAAAACACTAAGATACATAGCTTAAAAATAGTATTCCTTTTTATGGAAAACTAAATTAATAAGTAATAATTCTTTGCTCGCACTCATAGTTTTGACTATCTACGCCAAACTCATTATCTTCTTCATGTTGTCACCCTTCACTCTATTGGGACTACTGACTTAGGATTGGACTCCTCAAACAACTTCCCGCAATACGACATGATCGATTTCTTTGCTCTTCATCTAACTGTATCCTCCTCCATATATCATTGCTCTATAAACTACAAAAACAAAGGAAGAATTTTAATTAGAACTTGGTGATTAAAAATCAAACAAAATTTTAGCAATAAATAAATAAAAATAAAAAAAGAATTACTTACGTAGTCAATCTCCTTTTTTACTTGTACTAGTACTGACCCGTGCGATGCACGGCTGGTATATTTTTTTGAAACTTTTAAATATTAACATTAAATTTAATGCACTTTGTAGATATGTAACAAATGTAAAATAGAGAAAAACAAATTAAAAACTTCATAAATTAGTAAACACTTCTTTGTACACAACGTTTTGGGTCTTATTGGGCGACACGTCATCGTCATTACAGACTAATATCTTCAACCCACTTCGAGTGGTGACACGGGAGGCAGCAACGTATAATTGTCCATGACTGAACACCGGCTTCTTAAGAAATAAACCAACATGCGATAACGATTGTCCCTGGCTCTTGTTGATAGTCATGGCATACGATACCATAATAGGAAATTGTCGTCTCTGAAACTTGAAAGGAATTCTAACATCGGAAGGAGTTATCGCCATTCTAGGAATCAACACCTTCTCTCCTTCGTGATCCCCAGAGAGTATCTTACACTCAAGAACATGAGCGGATAGTCTTGTCACAACCAACCGTGTCCCATTACATAAACCCATAGAATGATCCATATTCCGCAACAACATGACAGGGGTTCCAATCTTCAAATGCAACTGATGATTTGGAATTCCCGAACATTTGATGCTATTCAAGAACTCGGGCGTATGGATTTCAGAAAGAAAATCACTATTAGAGTCCGACTTGCAAGTACTATCGGAGC